GCTATAAACATAGGGGTGCATGTATACTTTTGAATTAGTGTTTTTGTATATTTTTGATAGATACCCAGTAGTGCAATTATTGGGATTGTAAGGGAGTTGTATTTTTAATTTTTTGAGCAACCTCCAAACTGTTTTCCACAGTGGCTGCACCAGTTTGCACTCCCACCACAGAGCAAAAGGGTTCCTTTTACTACACATCCTGGCCAATACTTATTTCTTGTGTTTTTTATTTTAGTTATTCTGACAGATATAAGGTGATATCTCATTGTAGTCTTGATTTGCATTTCCCTGATGATAAATGACAGTGAACCATCTCTTCATGTGTCTGTTGGCCATCTGAATGTCTTCTTTGGAGAAATGTCCATGTCTTCTGCCCAATTTTAATTGGATTATTTGGGGGGGGGTGTTGACTTGTATCATCCTTTATATATTTCAGATACTGTCCCTTTATCAAATACGTCATTTGAAAATATCTTCTCCCATTTAGTAGGTTGCCTTTTAGTTTTGTTGTTTCTTTTGGTTACAATGTTTATAATGAAAGTCCATACTTTATTCACATTTCCTAGTTTTCAACCTTATGTCTTTTTTTCTGTTCCAGGATCCCACCCAGGATACCACGTTACATTTAGTTGTCATGTTTCCTTAGGCTCCTCCTGGCTAAAACTGTTTCTCAAACTTTTCTTGTATTTTGATGACTTTGATAGTTTAAGCAGTACTGCTCAGGTATTTTGTACAAAGTCTCTTAATGGGATTTGTTTGATGTTTTTCTTTTTCTTTTTTTCTTTTTTTAAGTTTATTTATTTTGAGAGAGAGGGAAAGAGAGAGACAGTGCAAGTGAGGGAGGGGCAGAGAGAAAGGGAGAGAGAGAGAATCCCAAGCAGGCTCCACACTGTCAGCGTGGAGCCCGATGCAGGGCTCAAACCCACAAACCATTAGATCATGACCTGAGCTGAAACCAAGAGTTGTATGCTTAACTAACTAAGCCACCCGGGCGCCCTGATTTGATATTTTTCTTATGATTAGACTGAGGCTGGGGGCTTCTGAAAGGAAGACCACAGAAGTGAAGTGCCATTCTCATCCCATCATATCAAAGGTACCTACTATCAACATGACATCACTGATCATGCTGACCTTCATCTGCTAAGGTAGTATATATCAGGTTTCTCTCCACTGTAAAGTTACTTTTGTTTGCTCCTTTCTGGATTGTACTCCTTGGAAGGAAGTCATTTCACAGTCTGCCCTTAAAGATTGGGGAATTCTGCTCTAGAGGAGGAAAAAAGGAAGGGATATAGTGTGTCACTGGCCTAGGGAAAGACCACTGGAACAATCGTCCAGCTACAAACCCATGCATATATGAAAACTTTATACATAACACAGCAATCAATACAGATTGGTGCAGAAAACAAAAGGACTGTTAAATAAGTGGTTATGGGACAGTAGGATATCTAAAAGGAAAAAAAATGATACTACCTTATACCATATACCAAAAAAAAAAAAAAAAAAAAAAAAAAAAAAAAAAAAAAAAGGTGGATTAAAGATTTAAGAGTGAAATGAACTCTTAGAAGAAAGTATAGGTGAAGATCTTTATGACCCGTACAGAGAATATTTCTTAAACTAGACACAAAAAGCATAACCAAAAAGGAAAAGATTGCTAGGTTCTACCCCACTAAGAAAAATGGTAAAAAGACAAGCTCCAAAGTGAAAGGGATTTGTACTTTATATTTTCTTTTATTTTCAATTTTTAAAAAAATGTTTATTTATTTTTGAGAGAGGGGGGCAGAGGGGCAGGGGGAGAGGGAGACAGAGAATCTGAAGAGGGCTCTGTGCTGACAGCAGAGAGCTGGATGCAGGGCTAGAACTCATGAACTGTGAGATCACAACCTGAGCCAAAGTCAGAAGCTTAACCAACTAAGCAACCCAGATGCCCCTGTATTTTATATTTTAAACAAAGAAACATAAAAGAAAACCTGAAAAGTCACACACACAAAAAGTCCCAATAGAAAAATGGGCAAAAGGAATAAATAGGCATTTATAACAAGATGGCCAAACAAAAAATGCAAATTAAAGTTCACAATGAGATGCTATTTCACATCTATACTGGCAAACATTTAAAAACTTGACCTCAGTGGTGCCTGGCTGGCTCAGTGGGTAGAGCATGTGACTCTTGATCTCAGGGTTGTGAGTGCAAGCCCCATGTTGGGCATAGAGATGAAATGAAATGAAATGAGATGAGATGAGATGAGATGAGATGAGATGAGATGAGATGAGATGAAATGAAATGAAATGAAATGAAAATACACACACACACACACACGTACCTTAAAAGAAAATTGAGGGGTGCCTGGGTGGCTCAGTTGGTTAAGTATCAGACTTTGGCTCAGGTCATGATCTCAAGGTTCACGGTTCACAAGTTTTAATGTTTAAATAAACATTAAAAAAATTAAAAAAAGAAGAAATTTAAAAGAAAATTGAAATAAAATAAAAACTTGACATCAAGAATTGGTGAGTACGTAAAACAAAAAGGAACTCTCAGACACTGCTATTTTGTCAGTGTAAATTAGAATAACCACATCAGAAAACTGTGACATTCCCTTGCAAAGTTGATGCGCATACCCAAATGTTCAGCATTAACAGTGAATACTATACAGTCTTTGTGCAAATAAGCCACACACACACAAATACATACCATTTGCATAAATGATGATAATGTTCAAAAACATGAAAAGATAAATATGTTAGGAATACATGTAGTGATTGCTGTGCTGGAGCTGGTTGTAACAGCTTGGAACAAACTGGCAAATGCTATCAGGGCTATTTTTTTCCTTCTGGTGAGCTAGTTAAATATTAACAAGTACATGCATAGTAGTGAGTAAGTAAAATAATAAATAAAAGCAAGAGAATTCTAAACAGAGAGGGGCACACAGGGGCAACATTCCTTCAACAAAGAATATTCCTTTTTTTTTTTTTTAACATGTTTTATTTATTTTTGAGAGAGAGAGAAAGAGAAACAAAGTATGAGCAGGGGAGGGGCAGAGAGAGAGGGAGACACAGAATGGGAAGCAGGCTCCAGGTTCTGAGCTGTCAGCACAGAGCCTGATGCGGGGCTCAAACTCATGAACCATGAGATCATGACCTGAGCTGAAGTCGGACACTTAACCAGCTGAGCCACCCAGGCGGCCCTTTATTTTTTTTTTTTTTCAACGTTTATTTATTTTTGGGACAGAGAGAGACAGAGCATGAATGGGGGAGGGGCAGAGAGAGAGGGAGACACAGAATCGGAAACAGGCTCCAGGCTCTGAGCCATCAGCCCAGAGCCTGACGCGGGGCTCGAACTCCCGGACCACGAGATCGTGACCTGGCTTAAGTCGGACGCTCAACCGACTGCGCCACCCAGGCGCCCCTTTTTTTTTTTTTTTTTTTCAACCAGGCGGCCCTTTAAACTGATTTCTTAGCCACAGTTGCCTCTTTGTAAAGTAAAAATATGGCATTATTTTTTATTTTTTGCATTTCTGAGCTTTCTTGTGAATTTTAATCTCCATTTATTTAACCACTGAAGTTGAGCATCTTTTCATGTGATTAGCCATATTTTACTCTTATTACCAGAAAAAGAGATGTTATTAAAAATTAAACCCAGAGGGTTGGGTGAGAACCTTGCTCAGCCTGGGACTGGCTGAGGTGAATGCAGGGGACTCCATGTAAGGAGCACCAAGTGTGCAGGGGCTGGAGTGAAAGGGGAGGTGGTTTGTGTAGTTGTCAGATTGGTTACTCACAGAAGTATTGAGCAAATAAGTGAAACATTGAGGATTATGAGAGCCAGGTTTCTCACTGTTGGAGGAAGGAGGTATGTATGCAGACTAGAATAATCCCAGTGGAGTTGGACTGGAATTGGGAGACATCAGTGTGAACTCATGAACTTTAGTGTATATCTAGAATGCTGGATGTAGAAATATAGACATATATATGTACTGTCCACTGGTAGGGACTAGAAGCAATAATACCCCCAAAACAAAGAATATCCATAGAGTGCCCAGACTTGATTTCCAAATCCATTCTCCACTAAAAAGAACTGAAGCCATCTAGACAAATGACTGATTCCAGGACTGGGGTGGGGAAGTATAAGATGAAGCTTGAATATCTTGTAATATCAGAAAATATGGAAGTGCTAAAAGAAAGATAGAAACATGTCAAAAGGACATAGGATCCAGCTTGAAGGAGCTACCACTGGCTCAGCTGGGACAATTTAAACACCACAAGAAATCATAGTAATAATGGATTATAATCCATAGAATAAAATATGAATCCATGTGTAGTCCACACTAATAGATCTATGATGAATGAGTGAATTAGTAATTAAATAAGTGGGGGAGAAGGGAAAGCTCTACCTTACAGTAGAAAGCAAATTATAAATGAAAAAGAATGATGAAATTATAAAATCACCTTTTGGCAATTGTAGTAGGAATAACTGGCTCAGACAGAAATCAACAAATGCTGAAACTAAATGATGCAAGTTGTATGAGGAATAGGATATTTATAGTCTCAAAGTAGCTCTCCACAAAATACTACCTTTGCCATGGACAAACCTGGTAGACACCATTTTAACCAGCTTATTATAATAAAAAAGATGGACAAACCAAGTGTTGGCAGTGTTGGCAAGGACATGGAGAAAATAAGAACCTGTATACACCACTGCTGAGAACGTAAAATGGTGCAGCCACTTGGAAAACAGGTGGCGGTCTTAAAATGCTAAACATAGAGTTACTATATCCTTGCAATTTTTCTGAAGGTGTGAAATTACTTCAAAGTAAAAAGTAAATTAGAAAAAAATGTATCCACAAAGAGACGTGTTCAAGAAAAAGAAACCTTTACGGGGCACCTGGGTGGCTCAGTCGGTTAGGCATCCAACTCTTCATCGCGGTTCAGGTCATGATTTCATGGTTTGTGGGACCAAGTCCAGCACTGGGCTCTGCATGGACAGTGCAGAGCCTGCTTGGGATTCTCTCTCTCCCTCTCTCTGTCCTTCCCCAATTGCACGCTCTCTCTCTCTCAAAGTAAATAAATAAAACATTTTTTTAATGTTTATTTTTGAGACAGAGAGAGCAAAACATGAACGGGGGAGGGGCAGAGAGAGAGGGAGACACAGA